ACCAAATAGTTTCTCTAGTGTCGCGGTCCGGCCGCAACCTGTCGAACAAGACCTGAGTGGGGACGTGAGGATTGAGAAAGAAGAAACAGAGAGACGGGAGGGCCCACAAAGACCGAGCCTAAAGAAAGACGCAGAGATAGAGTCCGGAGGGCTCCCAAGGCCGAGCAAGCAAGTTTATTTTCACCTCTCTTTTATACACTCAGTGAGTTAGGTCATTAACCATGACCTTTATCCAAAACACCTGCGTCGTTGTTTACCAGTTCTTTGGGAATTCCCCACCCTCATGGGCTTCCTTGTTTCTCGGGCTTACAGAACGTTCATCACGTTCCAGGGCAATCTAATTCGGCAAGGACGTGGTTCCTCATAACATAGTCTCCTTGCTCTATATCATGGAGGGTAAGATTAAACATGGATCCTCCATGGCTAACACCGCTCTCCACACTCTAGTGTGAGAAACTGAAAGTAAAAAATAAAGATTAAAATGAATAATTGATCATTTGAAATAGGAAAAGGTCCAAAGGTGTACGGGTGGTGGGAAAGGAAGGGGAAAGGGAAGAAGGGAAAGGAAAAATTATGAGAAAAGAAAAAAATGCAAACGAAATCTATGTAAATAGGGAAGGGTGGAGGGGGTGAAGGGCACACAGGTAATGGGGAAAAAAATAAAAACTAAGATACATCATGTACAAGGACAAGCACCCAATGATAAATGTAAATGTATTGTATACCTAAAATGTACCAATAAAAGAATTTTTTAAAAAAAGTTTGTGGCTTAAAACATTATCTCAGTTTCTCTGCTCATGCATCCAGGCACAGCTTAATTCCTACAGCTGTGAGCATCTTTCAAGCCTTTAGTTATCTCAGGGTTCAAGTAGGAAAAGTCTATTTCCAACTCATGCATATGGCTGTTTGGAGGACTCAGAGCTTATCACATTGTTGGACTCTGGCCTCAGCTTCTCATGGCTGGAGGGCAGCTCAGTTCCTGGCCACATGAACCTCTCCATTGAGAAACTCAAAACATGGCAGCAAGCAAGAAGGCAAGAGGGAAAGCAAGAAAAGAAAAGCTAGTGACCCAAACACAGAAATTACATCCGTCGCTTTTGCTATTTTGTGTTCATTAGAAGAAGTTCACTCGGTTCAGCACATGCTCAGGGAGAATACCAAGAAGTAGGAACCATGGAGAGCCGTGGCAGAAGCTGTCTACCACATTCACTCAACCTGCAATCTACAAGCCTTATATCATGACCCCTTGCCAGAAAGACACGTAAATTTTTTGTTTTACAATAAATCCCATTAATATAATCAGCAGGGAATCTAAGATAAAGAAGAAAGTAAAGTTAGCAGTTAATACTAGAATATAAATATGACAGGTATCAGTTTCCTAGAAACATTATTTTCAGTTCTACCTCAATTATTCATGTCACATTTCTTCCTTTCCCCAGAAAGATGATGTCAAAATTAACATTCAGTGCTGAAAATCATTGACCTTTCAGCACTTAATGGTTATCAACTACACATTAACTATTGAAATGAACAGTATCAAAGTCAAAAGTTCAGCTTGACAATCAGCTGCTTTCATTTATAACAAATAGAACAGAATTTGTTTCTATTTAATAGCTAACATGATATAAAGTTAAATCATATACAGATGTAACACTAACATGCCCATAGAATAATTTATAATGAGCCCTTACTGTGAGCCAAATACTATTCTATAGCATTTAAGTACTTAGTACATGTATTACCCTACATGCTGAGTAATGTGTGGACATCTACAGGTAAATTCAGGAAACCCCTGTTAATTGCTAGCTATTAATATTACTAATGTATTTGTAGTGATACTTTGCAATTGGGTGAAAATTAGCCAAATTTTTAAAAACTTAGTTCTTCCTTTCCTATTTAAATGCCACTGAGGCCCACTGAATACTAAAAGATGTCAAGACAATTACAGAGAAAATATGCAACAACTGCCTATTTTTTACTTACTGAAACTGATTTATCTACATTTTTAATTTACTTATTTGAAATAAATAAAATAATATGCTTGGAGAGTTGGTTATTTTATTTCTGCTCAAGGAAATTACTTTTGCATTCCCAGAATTTATTTCTAACCCCAAGGTTACTTGTTTTATCCCCCATCAGCACATAAGTACATTCTTATAGAATGGGTGAATAAATGCTATTGATTTGTTTTTTCTGATGTAAAATTTATATCAACACTACATAAAATGTACACACTTACATAATTGTTATTTTCACAAAACCCTTTTTAAATGTAAAATAAATGTTATATCATCAGCTCCAAATGTGAACTGCCTGCTACATTTATAATGTTCTACCAATGCTAAAATTTACTTTAAATTTTTTAAAGATTTAAAAA